AACATAGAGATAAATAAAACTAAACCTCAAGCAAAGAAGTTCAACGTTATAACATTCGGCCCCTCCTATTCTAATTCTACAATCAAACGGCGTGGTGGGTGTCTTATTCAAATACTCCTACGACTTGTGGGAAATCTCCATGAGCAGGTGCTGTTCTGGATAGAGTGTTAGGTAAAACGGATATTTGGGGTGGAGCATTATTAACATGTGGTGTAGATGGAGTAGAATCGTTTATATCACTGTTTACTGGCGATGAGATGACTGCACTAGAGTTATCTGGACGAATGTGATCCGCATGTCTTCTGCGCAAAACACCATCAGGTATTTTTATGATATAGGAATATCTGTGTGTTTGCCTCTCCACTGTGGCTGATTGCTATTTCTTATCATCTCTAGTTTTAACGTTAACATTTTTTCCAGGTTGGTAGTTTTTAGAATTTTTTTCTGACATGATGTTTGCTTTTATTTTTCTATGTTGTAGGGTTTTTCTAATACAGGGTCGAGCATTATCCAAAACACAGTTGAGTTGTCGTCCAAACATTAATTGAGCTGAAGAATTCAGGGTAAAACTGTGTGGAATTTTTCTATATGTAAAAAGAAAATTCCGTAATTTCTCGGTTAGATCGTATTGTGTGTCGAGTTCACTGGCCATCCTTGTTTTGAAAGTTCGCACAAGACGTTCAGTTAATCCATTGGTACGTGGGTGGTATGGAGATGATCTGATATGCAATATCCCTCTTTTCTTGCAGAACATTGTGAAGATTTCTGATGTAAATTGAGGTCCGTTATCAGAAACAATAAAGATGTCCAAAGGTGATAAAGAGTAATTCCAATTTTCCCTTCATACTTTTATGGTTAAGGCCATCAAAATGCAAAAAAATTAAAGAGAAACAAATTCGTTACCTAGAAAAAAATATTAACGTTATGCCGAAGTTACATAGGTACTTCTGCGTTAAGACGTATTTAAAAAAAATAGAATCAACTACGTATTTACAATAATGTTGATTCAAAACAAATACCTAACTAATTACTTACCTTGTATTTTAATATTTGTTCAAAATGAAGTCCACGTCTGTCCAGACATAAACGTGCACATTTCATTAAATTGTCATTTAATTTGTTTAAAACACTAGTGTCACTTTTCACTTCACTGAAAGCGTTATTATTTTTTATTGTTAAGTCTTCTAGACTTTGTGCCTCCTCTACATTTCGGCGTTTGACTTCTTCCCATAAGAAACAGTCCCTCACTTGTGAACAATGCCTCATCCATCTACAAGATGTTTGCATCGCGATGATGTAGAAGCCACTCACATAAGGCTCGACGTGGTACTGGGTCTAGGTCATGGAACTGTTGAACCGGCTGAAAGTGGTACGGATGGAGTCTGTTTTTAGCAGCTTCAATACCGCAGGCTGGCTCACACCAAAGAGATATGCCGCATCGTGGGTACTGACTCTGGGACTTCGTCTGTTAAAATGGTTCGGAGCATTAGGGACCGCGGGGTTACGGATCCCAAAGGCCCGCATACGAGGTATGCTCTTCGTCGCATACTTTCTCCGAATTGCGCTTATGTAGGTTCTCACCACTCAGAAGATAAACTCGTATATCTCGTAAAACTCACGACGGCGGGCGCGTCGCGTGCGCGGGAACGCGAGGACACGTCACATCGGCGCGTGCGTATGAGTCTCACAGTCGCGCGCGTCGCTCGGTCCCGGCGGGGCGGTGGGGGCTGTGGCGGGGGGCTACCGGGTGCGGCGGGGTTGCACGGTGGCATACGCAAGAGAAGACGTTTTCATTGAAGTTTTATTTTAAAAAATGTGTCCATATTCTACCGTTTCGATAGGGATAAAAATATTTAAAAAAAATTTTTTAACTAATTATGGAAAAGTGTTCTATTACTGATACTGAACCACCAAAAAAAATTTTTGCACTGGAAAAAAAATATTCCTGTATGTATTATTGGAATCTTGAGCTCGATAGATAATACTCCAGAGCTATCTGTATTTATTTTACTAATAACAAAAAAAATAAACTTGCCGCGTAAAAGCTAAAAAAGACACATTTCCTAACGATTTCAATTATGTATTATGTATTTATATAAAAAGTTTACAAATAAAAAAAAATAGGTTAAAAATAATAAGGATGTATTTTTAAATTAAAATTCAACAAATCTAACCGGTTTAACATCTTAAAGTAATCATTAGCCAAAACAAAACAAAATTAAAGAGATTTAAAATTTAAAACATAAGTATTTATGTTGTTATGAACAAAAAAGCATTAACAAAAAATACCAATCATCATCATCATCAGCCGGAAGACGTCCACTGCTGAACATAGGCCTCGCGGCGTAGAAATGCGGTATATTTCCATAATCGAACAAATGGTATCAACGGATTATCTACAAACATCAATATCTATGACACAAATGTAAAAAGGGCTAAATAGCCCTTATCGGGCTAAATAATTAAACAACGACTTCACCTACAATAAAAAGTGCTAGATCTAGCACTGGCAACTGCAAGCGTTCGTTCAACTTCGTGAAACATCGGTAACACTCGGTAACGTACGTCGGCAAGATAGTGGCATAGTCTATACTCGAATATGTATTACTGGATGTGGCTCACGCGTACCTATCGACATGACTGCTGAGTTTTTATGTTATTTGATTTTGACTAAAAGTATTTGATTTTATTGTTTGTTGGTGTTTATTATTATTGTTAAAGATATTTATTACCAACTCAATCCTTAATCCAATGGAAGAATTTATAATTTTAGTAAGTTTCAACTTGAAAACACTTTAACTAACTATTTGGTTCCTGTTTGGCTAAATGTGCTGGAGAACAAACATGTCCAAGACGCATACGTGAAAGAGTACTTGTAGCTGCCCTTCCATAGTTCGCTTTTCGTAACCAAGGTTTATGTAAGCTATTAGGTTGACTTAGTAAATAATGTTTTCTTTTGAATTTACTACTAGTGGTCCAATCAGTATTCCATTTGGTCTGTAAGTAGCGCATGGGCAAAGATAGCAGATCTTGACTATAATTTTTATAGGGAATCATGTCACCACAATTTACTGCATCTTTAGCTAGATGATCAGATATTTCGATTCCAGTAATTCTACTAAGGCTCGGTAACCATGCAAACTCCACCTAGTAACTTAATGAACAACACTTTAATAAGCAGTTCCTTATTTCAAATATGACAGGTAAGTAAGAGCGATTTCACGTATTCTACAGCTTTTAATAGACCCAAACCCAAGCATCGCTAAACACATAATTATAATCATTATAATTTGCCCCAATTACAGATTGAAATGTAATGTTCGCGTTGTTATCATCTTTAACAATTTAAATCATATCGAATTATAGGAGAAAGTTGTAAGCAAGGACGTAATTTATGGAACCAAAGTAAAGTTTATTTAATAACGTCTATCGATATCTGGTGTCACTAAATTGAAATATTATTTTTATATCCTTAATATAATAAAAATATATAGTCATAGAAACTGCTGTTTAGCCTCTCTCTAACAAGAGGTCTATACACGTCTATAGCGCACGAAGGCGAAATATTTGAAAAAGGCACAAATTAAAGCAACCATAATTCCAAAACTACTCGCTTGATTTCTATGAAACAATAACAGGTGTATTTCTAAATGTAAAGACTACACGAACACGATTTTATAAGCGATTTGACGGACCTCGAAATATCTTTCACATTGATGACCAACTTAAACCAAACGTCTATGGGATTAACCGGACACTACTCTTTACAGTGCAAAAGATTTTATCAAATCGGACTATAAATACCATTATGCGTAAAAAAGGGCGAATTGAGAATCTTCTCCATTTTTGGAGGTCGGCTAATGACGATTATTTGAATGTCGGTTAAAACTTCCGTATTATTTTCCTCTTTTTCTGATACCTTGTAAATTTTTACCGAGGTTATTGTTTATTTTGTTGGTTATATATACGTTGCATATAATGCTACACGATTTTCCGGTCGATAATTTTCATATATAAGTATATAAAATAAGTTAAAAAAAAAGTCATTAAAATTATATAATTACATTTTAACAGTATCTTCTTCTAGCAGAAGCTCATACGGGAGTTATATTTTTTACTCATCTTGACTAACAAAGATTTAATTTATAGGCAGAACGGTCATACGACCTTATTCGTAAAATGAAAAAAATACAAAATTATTTTACGCGGTAAATTTTAAAAAGTTCTTTTCTATTGATTTCATATGGTAATATGATAAAATCACAAAATAACACCCGAAATAAAGTGTTTTTGAATCTCCTTATCCTTAAAATATACAATTCAGCTTCAATTTATGTGCTTTAAGTCAGATCAACCTGCTAAGTGACTGAAAAAAATATCATTTTTGGTAGACAACCAGTAGCTCATTAGCGCCCTCTACAAAGACGCCAAGCCAAATAAACGCCGCCGGTTGTCCATCGTTCGTTTCGTTTTGCCGCCCGCCATATATTCTCTTTGGGCATAGCGTTATCGTACGCTGTAAACAATTTGTAAGTTATTTTTATTATAATTACAATATTTTTTTCATATTATATTATTTATTTGTATTTAATAACTTCTTTAAACAATTCGACTCAAGTGTACTTTTCTTTCCGTTATTTACTTTGTCCAACTCGCCTCCATTATATTAGCTTGGTACAGTCACTACTCTACCATTGCTACTTGCGATTCGAGGAGTTATTATATTTTAACAATATTTTCATTTCTTGACTATCGTATATTTAGATTTAAACATTTAATGTTGCTCTATAATATACGTTTTGATTGTGATTGTGGTGTATTCCCAATATTATAATTAGTCCGCTTGGCGTCTTTACGCGGTTGTTGACATTTCCATCGTATTTTTCTTTGTACGTATCTAACCAGTTATTTGATAAATTAAATCTGTTAAAAATAAAAACAATACGTATGACGGTGTCTTGTAAAATTTCAGTATAGCACTTTTCAATTATGCATGCGAGTTTTAATCAATAAACATGATTGCCAGCCACAAGCTCTTCGACGATACAGTCATTTGTGGAAGTGATTATTGTGAAGTAAAATTTAATTTCTTTATTTCAGATTTTTGCGAATTAAACTTATTAAATTTTAACTGCAATGTCTGATGACGGTTCTACAACTGTGGAGAAGAAAGGACGCGGTAGGCCGAAGTCAAATGGAACACAATCTGTAAGTATTCTTATAAGTAAGATAATTTATATTGAAAGTACTGAATAATATACAATTTTTAAATATCAACATTATTTTATAGGAAGCTAAAGGAGATTCTAAAAAAAGAGGAAGACCAGCAGTGCCTGCTAAAACTAAAGAATCTGCAAAGTCATCTGATGATGAACAAGCGCCGGTAGCGAAAAGAGGGCGAGGCCGGCCTAAAGGCTCTAAGAAAAAGACCGCTGCTAAAGGAAAGGTAACGAAAAAATTATGTGATTTAATAGTATTTGCTTTAAGAATATAAGTGATATAACTATCTGTTTTTGTTGATCAGAGTGCACCAGTTGAAGGACGGGGTCGTGGCAGACCACGTAAGGATGCTGCTCCTCCCAAGAAAGATGCTGCCTCAACTGAAGAGGAACAAGAGGACGATGAGGAGGAAGAGGGGTCTGACCAGTAAAACCGTGTATAATTTCTGACACATTACATACACACCTTAGTGTAATTTGTTTGTCATGATAACTCTTGTTGTTTTAATTATCTCCAAAATATAAATTCATTTGTTATAGATGTTTATGTTATTGTAAAAATTGGCATCTTAAGCAATTTAAGTAAGGATAATGGCATACGGGGTTATCTTGGCACTACAAAATTCTCTAACAAGATAGTCTATCCAAACTTTAATCATGTAAGAATTTGACAAGATTTAAAACAAAGTTAGTTATTTAAGAATAAATGAATCTGTCTGATTTATAATTTTTTCATGTTTTGTTATGAAACATGTCTTGCATGAATAAATGTTGGTCTGACTTGGCTCTCCTTAGACTCATACAACTTTAATTTGTAAGATTCTTTTTGTAGACATATAGATAACTTACTTGTAATCTCTGGATTTATTATAAGGAAATAATTCATACAATTAGATTTACAAATTTGACATAGGTCGAGTATTATTTTTCTTTATTTTTAATAAATATTTTCATTTTGATTAATTATGTTATTTTCCCTTAGCCGAGAGTGTAAACTAAAGGAACAGAAATTTCATAAATTATTAAAATCAATAATGTATTTTTGAAAAAAAGTGAAATTGAGAAAAAATATTAAGAACTGTACCCAAACAAATATCATATAGTAGTATGGTGGTAGTGCCATTTTGTATTTTTTATTTGTATTGGAGCAGACTGAAAAGAATGTTTAATGACATTTACTGTGTGTATGTGCGTGAATGTACAATTTTAGAAAATATAAATAAATCTATGAACTTCTGATTTGTTCTTTAGTAATTCACCATAAATCTGGGGTGCATTTAGACACTGTAGAAAAATTTTCGGCGGAGCACGGACTTGACATGGTAATACGCCACTACTGCAGGTCATTATACACTGGACAATAGTGTAAGGCAAGGTATCACAACACCAACGAATTTTGAGTATATCAATACGATGATGTATTGATATAGCCCTTTTACGTCTCCACTGCAGGGGCTCGGGCCTTATGGATGATTAAGGAGGATGGGCCATGACCCTCTACGCTGGCCCAATGCGGATTGGAGGGTATTAACGACTGCAAATGCAGCCGGGACCAACAGCTTAACGTGCCTTCTGAAGCATGGAGTAGCTGGAGATAATATTTTTTTGTCACCTGTCCCATGACTGACTCTTGCAAAAGTTGCTTAACAATCGTGGCCAGCGTCGCTTATCCACTACGCCTCCGAGCTATTCTATATCAATACATTGTGAATAAATTTCTGTTATAAGCCGCCGTTCTTGTCGGACCACAGTCTTCCTGGTACACTCTTGGATAGTGCAGTTTGTTGCTGGCTTTATTTGGTTTGTCCATCTCATGAAGGATCTACCACGCGCTCTGGTACCTTCAACTTTTCCCTTCCGCTAACTGACGCTATTGTTTCATCTCGATGCACGACCAAAGAAAGCTAAAATGTTTCCGTCTGATGCAGAGTTCGTTCTGTATAGATGCATTGGTACGGAACTCTGAAAATGTTTAACAATATAATTAATAAAAACAAATAATGCAATCTTGTTGGACTCCCGCACTAAGATGGAAATGACAAGACAATATTTCATCTACCCCGATCGATGCCGCCCTCATATAGACTTAAGTAAGTACACCAGGTTCCCATCTCCATCAAAATTTGCACAATAACGGCCATTTCTCAGAGTCAAATGTCTTGGAGAAATAGAACAGATAAAAGTATGCTCAATTATTTGCCGTACACCGAGGATCAGTTCCCGGGTACCTTTTCCTTTAACAATGCTAGCTTCTTTGGGAGCTATTTCATTGGAGAGAAAGATCTCAAGTCGCTCGTTTAGGATACGCAGTAATATTTTGCTAGTTATGGCATAACTTTGTAGTCATTCTTATGGAGGGAAACGCATTCCACTGGCCATGTTCCTGTTTGTAAAATTTTATTAGACAGGCTGGTAAATATTTGGACACTTTGGTGTGAGTTAATAGTGACTTCTATACTACGAACTTTCAGTTCCATAGGATCCATAAAGTTTGTATTACCTAATGTGAGGCATGTTAATACACTTATAAATGTAAATAGTGAAAAAGTTGAGTTGGTGGAATCGACAAAGTTCCTTGGTATTACACTAGATTCCCGACTGCAATGGGATCCTCATATTGATAATTTGTCGAGTAGACTGAGTTCTGCAGCATTTGCTGTTAAGAAAATTAGACTTCTGACAAATGTTGAAACGGCAAGATTGGTATATTTTAGTTATTTTCATAATGTAATGACGTATGGTCTATTGTTGTGGTGTTCTGCGGCTAGCATTCAAGATATTTTTATTTTACAAAAGAGAGCTGTCCGCGCTATATATAATTTACGGTCTAGAGAATATCTCAGAGAAATATTTAAAGAAATAAATATTTTGACTGTTGCCTCTCAATACATATATGAAAATATTATGTACGCAAGAAAACATTACGATTCCTTCATAAAAAAAAGTAGTGTTCATAATCTTAACACAAAAAATAAAAATAAACTTGCCGTTCCAAGCTTCAGACTTCAGAAAACCAGAGGATCATTTCTGGGTAAATGCATTGCTATGTTCAATAAAGTTCCACAAAATGTTGTTGACCTACCCATAAATAAATTTAAAATTCATGTAAAGAACATACTTATGAGTAAAGACTATTATAAAGTTGATGATTATTTTAAGGACCGCAATGCATGGAGATAATAGCCTTCGCTTTGTTCTATGAAAACTAATTATATGTTCAACCTATGTCCTACAGACTTTAAAAGTTGTATTTATTATTGTGATAGATAATACATATTATTTTGGTAATGACATGATGACATAATGTAGCTCGGTGGCGTAGTGGATAAGCGCCACGGCCCGCGATCGTTGTCGTTAAGCAACTTTCGCAAGGGTCGGTCACGGGATGGGTGACCAAAAAATTATTATCTCGAGCTACTCCGTGCTTGGGAAGGCACGTTAAGCCGTTGGTCCTGGCTGCATTTGCAGTCGTTAATACCCTCCAATCCGCATTGGGCCAGCGTGGAGGGTCATGGCCCATCCTCCTTAACCATCCATAAGGAAGGCCTGAGCCCCTGCAGTGGGGACGTAAAAAGGCTGATGATGATGAATGACATGATTTATGTAAATGTCATTACTTATGATAAAAAGCTGGTAAGTTTCTTTCGCTTGTTCTTCTTGTCAGCTAAAAGACGTCCTGAACAAGTGGAAGGGGAAAAAAATTTTTTGGACGATTCAAAAGTGCTTGTAATAGCCTACTTGAATAAAGATATTTTCATTTCATTTCTTCAGAGACATTTCTGCTTATAGGTGAGCCTGCTACCTTGACGCCTAAAGCAACGGCTATTCCAAACAAAAGGATCTGATTTTGAAGTTAATAAATACATAAAACAATTGTGACTCATTATGAATATGTCGCAGCTAATCGGTTAAATCAATTGTCCAATTGGACGGCTAGCCATTTAATTGAATGGCGCCATTCAATAGGGAATATGCGTCTGATTAAAAAAAGGCTTAAATATATTTTATTACGATCATTATTGCTTTAGAATAAAGTCTACGTTAATATTTTTCAACATTAGTTAGTTTTCGTCTTGAAAATAATTCTTCTTCTTTTATTAATGGCTTATCTGCGCATTTCGCACAATTCTGCCAATGTCAAGTAAATAAATTAGTTTCTACGTGTAAAAATTATTAATAAGTGCAGTAAATGCGGTAACTTCAAAATATTCAAACGCCATGCTACTTGTCAGAGCGGATGTGACGAAAATGTACACGTATAGGGATGTCGTTGTTACAAAAAGTTAACATTGATGCAATAACATCATAGTATTAAGTCGCAAAATAAACTACAGATTACAATTTAAATGATGTTTAAGGCTTTTATTTTTAATTCACCAATTTGGTAAATTATATGATTAATTAATAAAGTATATTATACTTTAAAAAATCGATTAGTTGTTAATCGATTTGGGTAATTGAACGATAATGAATCACACATCATTTTTTATCATTTAAACCAGATGGGTGGGGAGATAAAAGGTTGTAAAGTGCTCAATTAGGGTGGAGACATGGTTAAAGGAAATAAAACCTATAGAATATAATGAGGAAGCATTTATAAAAACAACATTATTTCCCGGAATCAATTCCTAGGACATACTTTGGCATAACTATTTTATTTACAAAAACTATTTCACGGTAATATTATAGTATACCGTAGCTAAATGCAACTATTAATAATTTCACAGCATTAATAATAATAATATAATCTTTATTGCACACATACAGACAGGAAAACAGAAAGAAGTTACACAGTAAAACGATACAAAGTACACAAAAGGCTTCCTTATTGCTAAACAGCAATCTCTTCCAGGCAACCTATGGAAGAGAATAATAAAAGGAAAGGGAAAATATGGGGTATTGGGTGCAATGGTCAGAAGGATATGATAAGATATATCTTTGCATATTAAATAAAAAAGTATAAGTAAATAGTATTAACATAGAGAAAGGAAATAGCTTTCAACTCGATCGCCGAAAGAATTAAGTGAGCGAGTGTGCCTGACATCGTCCGGGAGAGAATTCCATAAACGCACAGCATGTACAGAAAAGGAATAGGAGAAGAAATCGGAACTATGACGCGGGATGTCCAAAGTGAGGTTGGATGAGGATCGTATGGAACTCAGTGACGAAGAAGAACGAAAAGAGAAACATTGTTTGAGATAGTGTGGAGAGGAAGGTAGGAAAAGTATAGAATATAGTAACTTTAAAGTGTGTAAGTCCCTGCGCCGGCGAATAGGGAGCCAAGATAATCTGGAACGAAAATTCGACACATGGTCAAATTTACGAAGGTTGAAAATGAATCGGATACAAATATTCTGCAGACGCTCTAATTTGTTGAGAAGTTCTTCTGATAGATCCGTGTAGCAAACATCAGCGTAGTCTATGATCGGTAGCAATAACGAATGAGCTAAAGAGACTTTAGTACGAGTAGGCAAAAAGTTGCGTAGTTTATTAAGTGAATAGTACGTGGCAAATACCTTTTTTCTAACGGCCTCTACTTGCGGCTTCCAGGAAAGATTTTGATCGAAGATGACGCCAAGGATCCTAACAGTTTTTGAATAGGGAATCACAATACCGTTAAAAATTACTGAAGGTAGTAACTCAGGACTAACCCTAGAAGTGAAATGAGAACTGCCAATTAGAATCAGTTGAGTTTTAGAGGTGTTCACAGTAAGACCGTATGAATCACTCCATTTATTAATGCGAGACAGGTCAGAGTTTATTACTAAGACTGCCTCTGATAAGTGCGAAAAAGGCGCTTGAGTATAAATTTGAAGGTCATCTGCATATAGGTGATAGGAACAAGAAAGCAAATCAGTTATGGAATTAATAAATATAGAGAAGAGAAGAGGAGATAAGACGCCACCCTGAGGAATACCGGCTTTGATATCGCACCACGTAGAGACGGATTCGTCAATGCGGATCCTCTGCCGGCGTCCTAGCAGGTAACTTCGAAACCAGGCAATTGCAGCTGGAGATATGTTGAGAGAAGCCATTACACCGAGAAGGATGTCAAAATCAACCGTATTGAAGGCATTGCTAAAATCTAACAATGTCAACAACGTAAGCTGACGATTTTCCATACCTCGATTTTCGAATGACATCAGTAATTTTCACCAATGCAGTAGTAGTGCTATGGCCAGTACGAAAGCCAGATTTAAATGGATTAAGATGTTGGTTTGAATTAAGAAAAGCCAGTAACTGACGG